TCTCCCGAGGGAGAAGCAGGAGAGCACCACTTTCTGTTGTTTCTGCTGAGATCCAGATCAGGGAAAATTGTGCACATTGTGAAAGGGCTTCCCTGTACTGGAACAGCTGATACATGTTCTGGGAGCATCTCCCTGATCCAAAGCATCTCCACAAGAAAGGAATCACAGAATCATGGAATATCCTGAGCTGGAAGGGACCCACAAGGGTCATCAGTCCAACTCCTGGCCCTGCACAGACACCCCAACAATCCCACCCTGTCCCTCAGAGCTTTGTCCAAACCCTCCTGGAGCTCTGGCAGCCTTGGGGCTGTGCCCACTGCCCTGGGGAGCCTGGGCAGTGCCCAACCACCCTCTGGGGGAAGAACCTTTCCCTCAGATCCAACCTGACCCTGCCCTGGCACAGCTCCAGCCGTTCCCTGGGTCCTGTCCCTGTTCACAGAGAGCAGAGATTGGAGCTGTCCCCCCAGTGCCCCTTGAGAGGAAGCTGTTTCCAGCTCCCAGGCATTTCCTTGGGATGGGCAGGACAACAGGCACACAAATTCCTGCCCAGGAATGTCACTGCAAATGGCATCTTATGCATGAAGCCGAGTTCACTCACAGTTTTCCCTGATTAACATGGAATTTGGTCTGGCTGCTACTCAGTCTCGCAGAAATGCTCACAGCAAGTACACCTGACTTACTCACACCTCTAATGTCAGCCTATATAACAACCTGACAATTCAGCAGGGGAAAACCTTCTAAAGATTCTAAATCCCACTCTGTTCAAAAATTCCAGCCAGTAAAAATTCCAGAGTAAACAGAATTTTACAGGAGAGTTCCCCATCACTTCCTGCAGAGTGGGCCCACAAACCAATTTCCCGGTGACACTGGAATTTCAAACAGTCTGACCTTCTGTCACCACCTGAACAACAGGGAAATGCAATCCCACTGTAGAAGTGTCTTCATGGTGTCATCTGACCCCGGGTCAAGGACAGCCTGGCAGAGGCACCTCGTGGGGATGGCACAGAGAGGTCCTTGGGATACAGAAAATCCTCTTGTAAGGATATTCTTCAAAATAATCTGCACCACTGTGGCACAGACACTTCTCTTCCCAAAACTGCAGGGAAAGCACCAAAAAACCCTTTTTCATAGAATTCCAGAGTGGTTTGGGTTGGAAGTGCCTTAGTGCTCATGGAATTCCAACCCCCTGCCTTGGGCAGGGACACCTCCCACAAGACCAGGTTGTGAGAGTCTATTCCCTAAGAACCATAAAACTCTTGGTTTCAAGTAAAAGTCTTATTAAAAAGTCAGCCTACAAATGTTATTTGTAGCTGGGAAACTTCTTTCCTCCTTCCCTTCTCCCCCTTTTTTTTTAATCTAATTTGATTTTTTTTTTTTTGAGATGCCCAATTTACATAAATCCTTTCCAATTTCCCAAATACAATTAAATACAGTGGACAGTGGTTTAATACCATACAGGCTCTATGTAAACCTACTCTAAAACCACATTAGCAACTTCATTTCCCCTGTGCACAGGTGCCCCCATGAGATCAACAAAACAGTCCTCTGCTCTCTCACCTGATGTGCAGCAAGTTCAGCAAAATCTGGTTTCTTACAGATGTGGTAAATTCTCTGGAGTGCAGCAATTCCAGGAATTAGGTTTCACTGGCTGTGTAAGCACATCCAGCCTTCAGCAGCCCATCCTCTTTGCAAATTGATTATAATAGAACTGCCAGGTTAGATTTTGTCTGATTGATAAATAACCCAAGTTCCAAGAGGAAAGGATCCAAATGCATCAAAATTTGATTAATTCTCCTTTTGGTTTCATGTTTTACATGCTTTAAAAATAAATAAAACCTCACTAACACTTTTTAGAGCTGGTAACAAGAACATAGTCTCATGTCTACAGTGCAACGGTCATGTGTATCTAATTTTAATTACAGTATTATTAACACTGGAAGCCCTTTCAGTTTAAAGGTTCTAAATCCACACAGTGTGGCAGCCTTGCTAATGAAACATGGAAATTTCAATGGGACACCCAAAAAAATCCACATGTTCTTTTGTAAAAGCCCACATTGTTTGGCAGGGAATGGAAGTGCCACAGGAGGACAAAATAGTTTTTCTCCTTGCTTATCATCTATTATGTTCTGGAGATAGCACAGAGGCTGAAAAACAGCATTTCTTATTAAGATATTTAGTTTTTTCCATTGTCTCCCTATTTGAGAATTCAAAATTTATCAGCAATCCAATTTTTATCCCACAGGTGAGCACACCCATTTCCTGTCCACCTTCCTTCCTGCATTCAAATATTCATGTATTGACTTAACCACCTTTTCCATTTCACTCTTTTCCATAATAACTTAACAGGAAAAAAAAAAAAAATTGATCTCCTCACATGAGAGGGAATATTTTAAAGATTAAATTTTGTGAGTGCTGCAAAAAACAGTGTATTTTCTGTTTGAAGGGAAACATCACACAGATAAAACAGAATCAGATCCAACAACTTCAACGCTGCGAGAAATGAAAACTTGAGAACGAGCAACACAAGAATCTGAAGGTTTGATTTGGTACAAGCCTGAGACATCACAGCAGTTCAAAAGGGCCCTGAACAGCACAGCATTAAAACTTTTATTATTCTAGTTGGTGGCACACTGTCATTCTTACAGACTGATCATTTCCCTTATTATCCCCCTGACTGCACCTACAGCACAGCAACATGAACCAGCAATGCCTACAAGCAGTGCCATTAACAACCAAAGGGGCCATTTAGGCTCAGGAGATGCCCCACCAGAGCAGGGTAAGGGGTGGCTGTAATTGGTGTGTTGTGCTACTGTACCTGGCTGCTGGAATTTGGAAATCAAAGTGCTCCAGGGCTTTAACCTGTCATTTCGTAGTATATTTAGAATTCTATATTTAGAATGGTTTGGGTTGGAAGGGACCTTAAAGCTCATCTTGTTCCACCCCCTGCCATGGGCAGGGACACCTCCCACTAGCCCAGGTTGCTCCAACCTGGCCTTGGACACTTCCAGGGATCCAGGGGCAGCCACAGCTTCTCTGGGCAACCTGTGCCAGGGCCTCCTCACACTCACAGGGAACAATTCTTTCCCAATATCCCATCTATCCCTGCCCTCTGGCAGTGGGAAGCCATTCCCCCTTGTTGTATCTCTACACGCCCTTGGGAAAAGTCCCTCTCCATTTATTTAGATGTTAATTCACCCAAATTTCCACATCTCTCCCAGTGGCAGCAGAACTCCAGAACAGGAAGTAAGGCCCAAAATAAGTTTTTAATCAAGGAATCCAATCCCAAATGATTTCACTGTCAGCATGCACCAGCTTTGTACTTTGCTGCATTCAAAATCAGCCAAGGGAGGAAATCAACACAGTATTTAAAGAGGTGCCAAGTTATTCAACACTGTTATGAGCTGCAATTTTGTTTCATCTTCTGTCCTACTGTACTCACAGCTCAGTTCCTCAGGAGATACAGAAAGGACCTGTATATTAACAAACTTATTACCACTGTATTTGGACAGTGGGTGGCATCCCTGCCTATGGCAGAGGGTTGGAACTAGATGGTCTTTAAGGTCCCTTCCAATCCAAACTACCTGCTTGAGTTGAACATTTGTATTTAGAAATAAATTCGATACTACTAAGTATTTAAATATGTGTTTAAATATGGTGCAGTTTGAAAGCACGCTCTTTTTTCTCCATGGAATGCCCTGATAAATACACAAGTGCTCTACTACAAGACTGCAGAGATTCCTTTCTCTTTTATTTGCCCTTCCAGCTACGAAAAAACAGAACAAAACCTTGATTTTTCTGTCATTAGACAACAACTCCAGGGTCAGGTCCAGACTCTCTCCAAAAGAATCAAATGTAACTCTGCTCTGTTCTCACTGCCACCATCTTTACTGCACTGATTTTTGTAGCCTGGTGCAAACCCCACCTACAGCAAAGCTTTCAGCTTTGTACAATTTTGCTTAAAGTAAAATTAACAGCTTAGTACATTTAACAAGTCAAACACTGATATTGTCACCTCCTATTCTTTTCCTCTTAATCCTCAAATTGGCAAAGAAAGCAGCAAATTCTGACTGTATTTTATATGTGCAGAGCTGGGACTCAGTAACCAGGGGAAGATGCATGTTGAGAGACATGCTGAGACCAGGTTCCTCCAAGCCCTGTCCAACCTGGTCTTGAACCCTTCCAGGGATGGGGAATGGTTTATGGCTTCTCCCATTAACAGGAGCTGATTGAGCTCAGCACTGGTTATGTTTCAGGAGCTTTCTTTCTATTCAGTAGCAAAGCTCTGGACTGAGCTGCCTTATTTTCAATCTAACCTGAACAAAACAAAACCAACACTAAACCAAGAAACCCCCCCACAAAATTGCTACAAGACGTGGAGATGATTTTTTTTGTTGTCCTTGCTCCCAGTATAAGACAAGAGGAACGGGCAGGAACTGATGGCCAGGAAGTTCCAGCTGGACAGGAGGAAGAACTTGTTGGCTGGGCAGTGCCCCAGCCCTGAAGAGAGAGCAGAGAGGGGGTGGAGTGTCCTCCCTGGGGCTATTCCAGAGCTGTCTGGACACACTCCTGTGCTCTGGGCTGGCCCTGCTGGAGCAGGGAGGTGGCACCAGATGCCCACTGTGGTCCCTTCCAGCCTGACCCATCCTGGGATCCTGTGAATATTCACTACTCACACACTTATCTGCACCTCTATGAACCTTCAGCACAGGAACACGTGAAACAGAAACCAAATGCATTCTCAGGAGCCATAAAAAGCAAACAGACAAGTGATACTTTGTTTGTTAATACAATATAACATGAACTGTTGGGACTCTGCCATGATTCATTCCCTTTTCTCAAATACTTCACACCCTTGTTCCCCTTGATGGTGTTAAATGATGCCTGGCAGGCTAAAAATGAGAAGAGAGCACTGCAGGAAAGACAAGCAAGCCCACCCCACATTTTCTTCAGAGCTTTTTGTTCTCAAAAGAATATAGAAAGATGAATTCAGCTCAAATTACCTTAATAACCAAGTCAAACTTCTGGTGTAAATCCCTATTTATTGGCTTGAGGAGTGTCAGTTCAGCTGTTGTGAGATTCATATGGAAATACTGTGGATAATCCTCAGGGGTACCTGCAAGAAAGACATTGAGGTTTGAATAAATCTGAAAGGTTTAGTTCAACAATGTATTTATTTTACTCATTAGTCATCAAAGGAACAAAACCTAATCCTGTTATTGTAAGGATAAAATATTGCATCATGTGTACATGGAGCTTAAGGATACTACTAAGTTATGTGTTTAATATTACCATTGTGTTTAATATTACCATTATGTCCCTGCTGTCCCTGACCACGAAGATTCTTCTCAACTGGGAATCCCCAAGTGCTTGATAACAACAGGAGCATTATTAATAGCATAGAAGTAATATATATAAGTAATAGCATAAATGATAATTGTACAATATAAAAACACACGGGCCATTTTAGAAATCCTTCTAAGAAATGAAGTTTCTTATCAGGGAGGAGGCACCAGATGAAGCAGCTTCCATTTCCTGCCAGCTGGAAATGGTGTCCTCATGGCTGGGGATTTGCAGGATAGTCTCCAAACCAGTGGAGGCATCAGAGCCTGAGCAGATGTGGGATGTCATGGAGACTGAGCAAGGGCCCTGAAAGGCTGGCACAGCCATTGCCCTGCTGGGTCTGGCACCTGCAGCCCAAAAACCTTCCAAAGGGCTCCTGCTGGAGCCAGGCAGACACGGGAAGAGGGAAGGACTCAGCTGCTGGGATTTAGAGCCACGTGACTCTCAAAGAAATGGCACCAAAGGGCTCCAATACTCAAAGCATTGGTACCAAAGGGCTCAGAGAGCCACAGTGTTGACACACAGCACAAACTCTGGCACCTCCCAGTTTGGCAGTGTTGGGAGAGCATCCCAGGAAACCAAAACACAGATTATAAACCTAAGCTCTGGAGGAATTTAGGTCTGGGAATAGTCCTGTGCAGCAGCTGAGGGGCAGAAAGCGCTCCTGGCTCGTGGGATGGACGTCCCAGGAAGTGCCCTGAGCCATGAGAGCAGGGCAAACCTTGCCATGCCAAATCCTGAATCCAGCCAGGATTGAAGCACAACAGGGCAGAAGATTCAACACAAGAAAAGAGCACCTTCCTGATAAATGGTGCTGTTATGTGTTCACCTTTCAAGAGGAATGGTTAAGAAACTGCTCTTAGAAAGCCAGAAGCTGCCTCAGGAGATGGATCACTGTCCAGACTTCATGGGCAATAATTTCATTTGCAGCTCCTCAAATGACAATCAGTTGCCAGATATATAAATTATATATATATATATAGTGTATACATATATATATATGGGGTTTTTTTCTGTGACTATCTTGATATACACGTATGTCATCGACCCAGAAAGCAGCAGAAGAACTACTGTGGATTATTCTTTCTACTACACTACCACCATCAATGCAGAGCTTCAAGTTCCAAGTCCTGCCTTTTAAATTCAGCTCCTAATTAATTCATCTAATTCTTTAAGAGCACAAGGCACCCAGCAGCAGCTCCCAGTTTTTGGCAGGTAACAGACTGCTGTGGTCTTAGAGGCTTCACATCACCAGGGCTGATGCTGAAGCTAAAAAAAAAATAAAAAATCAAGATATTAAGGACTAAATGCCAAAGCAGAAAAGAAGAGGTTCCCTGAAGGAGAAAATTATGGAGGGGAGGAGTTTGCTTTTCTTGGAGCCAGAAGAGGGGTTTTGTGGGACACGGTGCTTCCAAAGGCATCAGGGAGCACACAGAGATGGAGAGGAGCCCCCCAAAAATGCTGGGGGGGGCTTGTGGCTCTTTAGTTAAAATATCAACCAAATAAAACAGTCACTTGTGCAAACTGGCAGCAGAAATCACAGAGACAGTTCCAGGGTCAGAAGCTGGCAATTTAAAGGAAAATTTAACTTTTCTCAAAGACCAGCCCCAGAGGATAAAAAAAGGCTTAAAATTACTCATAAAAATAATATTTTACTAGTAATTTACTAGTAAATATAGTAAAATTTATTAGTAAAAATGGTATTACTAATAAAAATAAGGGGAGGTGGGTTTGCTTCACACTTGATATGTCCAGGCACCATATGTGGCTCTACTGCAAGGCCCAAATAAATTAATTAATGTTCCTGAAAGTGAAGGATGAGAAAAATTAGTGCATTACAAAAAAAATATTCCAAATATCACGTTTCCAAATGTTAAACATTGGAAATCCACAGTGCCCAAAGCACAGGCCAGGATTTGTACAGGTGTGAAGGGGAGGATGAAAACAGGGGAAAAGAAGAACCAAATAGAACAGTCAAATCAAATAAACTTCAAAATCATTCTCATATTCAGTAAGTAGCCAAATCCCTCATTCTGTGGTCACAGTTCAAACCTTGCAGTGTTTAAAAAAAGCCAAATCCAAAGGTATTAAAAAGTACATTTAGAACTAAAGCAAGTTACTAAATCCACGTAACAAGAAATACCTGCAAGGCCTTTTTCCTGTGAAACTACTTAATATTTTCTGAGGCTAAAATATAAATAGCACTGCAATCCTGGTAAAGATGAAGGCAGGCTTAAAATCTAAAAAGAAATATGTTGGAAGACTAAGGGGGAAAAAATAAGAAGGTTTAAAAAAAAAAAAAAGGAAAACCAGAACAACAAGAGAACGGAAAAAAATAAGAGAGGGGAAGGGAGGGAAAAAAGAAAGAAAAGGAAAAAAAATAAGGTAAAAATGGAAAGAAGGAAAAGAGAGGGGGGAAAAGAAGGAAGGAAAAAAGAAAAGATAAGGAAGCAAGAAAGGAGGGAGGGAGGGAGGAAGGAAAGAAGAAAGGAAAGAAAGAAAGAAGAAAGAAGGAAAGAAAGGAAAGAAAAGAAGGAAAGAAGAAAAGAAAGAAATAAGAAAAGAAAGAGAAAAAATGAGGAAAGAAGGCAAAAGGAAGAAAAAAGGAGGGAAATATAAAAAAAAGAAAGAAGTAAAAACAGTAAGAAAAGAGATGGGAAAAAGAAAGAAGGATAAAAGAAAGAAGGAAAAAAGGAAGAGCCTGTCCATTGAAGAATTCCCCAAACCCAATCAAACTGCTGGAACACATCTTCCTGAATTATTTCTCGGAGGTCAAAACAGTCACTCCTATATCAACAATATCCCAGGTCAGTGAAACACAATCTTTAATAATTTCACTCTTGAAGAGCTTTGTCAGTTCTGCAAAGAACTTTAAAAAACTGGCCTAACCGTGGCACTGGGGCAGAGTTGTCACAGCAGAGCTGCTGATCAGCCAAGTCTAACTAAGCCAAGTCCATTTGCAGACATAAATCCACCCAGGATTTACTCTACGAATGGCTCCCAATCTCCTCCCAGAGCAGCTTTGCTGGGAGAGGACTCATTGCTTGGTCTGCCAGATTTGGATCCAGGTGCAGCCCAAAGGAATCCAGTTGGCTCCATGGCTCCATTCTGCTCCAGGAGGAGGCTGAACTCAGCTGTGGTTCTATGATACAGAAGCAGCTTTTGTTTTATGACAAGCAAAGGTGCACAAGGTGCTCATTAAAATCTTTACTTGCACCTCCCCCTGGGTGAGAAAACCATGGAGCTGCAGTTTAACTCAGGAAACACCACAAAGATGTGATTCCACAGAACACCCCCTCTTCAAATCCCACAGAGATGCCTCCCAAGTCAGCGTGTGGACTTTGGGAAGAGCAGGGCAGGTGGGGCACTGCAACTGCCAACCACCCTCAGGCCTTTCCCTTATCACATCCTACAAGCAGAGTGACTGCAAACAAATGCCAGGCACAGGGAAGCAGCAGGAAAACAAAAGACATGGCCAGGAGACAGCATAAACAACTAAACAAAAATTAAACTACAAGGGAAAGCACACCAGCTCACAGGCAGCACAACTGGAGGTGGGTGCAGTAAGCCCTTTTAAGCTGCTCTGTGCCAGGAGCCTTTTGGGATGAAACCTGCTCTAATTGCCTTTCTTTAGCCTCTTCTATTGGGCCTGTGAATGAAAAACATTCTCCAGCAGAGCTATGAGCACTCAGAGTCTCTCTCCTTTCACTTGCTGTGTTGCCCCATTCATAAACAAGACAATTATGGATTCAATCTGAATAAATAATAATAAATACCCCTCTGAAATAAACTTCTCCGTGGCAGTTAAACACAAGCAGGTAGAACAACGATTTCAAGCATCCCACTGACCACAACAGGAATTTTTATTACGTTTCCACTCTCCCAGGCAATCTTTTTTGTGGCTGGTCATAACAAAGAGACTGATTGTGAGGGATAGAAGAGGAGCAGACACCAACCCACTAGGATGGAATAGAGGATGCCCGGTCGATCGGAAGGAGGTTGGATGTTCCGGTCCTGATCTATGGCTTGGATGGGTGGAGTGACACTGATGGGATTCACACGTGCCTGAAATGAAAAATCAGATTGGAGACAGAGAAATTAGAAAGCCAGTAGGCAGATCTGCAGGTTTAGCACAAAAACATCTCACTGGAAAGGATATTTGCTGAAACTAGAGGAGAAAAAAAACCCTCATAATTAAGGGGATACTTACAGCTCCAGGTTCCTTTTAAATAAAAATTAAGTAGGCAACCCATACATTCCTAAAGCAACCTCCTTTCTTTGAGAAACACCTTTGTGATAGATCTTTGAGGAAATTAATCAGAGATTCCCAGAATGGTTTGGGTTGGAAGAGACCTTAAAGATCAACTGACTCCAACCCCCTGCCATGGGCAGGGACACCTTGCACTAGCCCAGGTTGCTCCCAGTCCTGTCCAACCTGGCCTTGGACACTCCCAGGCATCCAGGGGCAGCCACAGCCTCTCTGGGCAACGGTGAGTTTAAAACTATCCTTAGCAAATGGGATTGGTTTTGTTGTGAGTGTGTTTTTAACTCTGATGGAGGTTTTTCTGAGATCACTTGAAGCCCAAGTGATCTATAAATTTAAAAATAGCATTTCAGTCTTGGTCAGTTTTATACCCAGTCTTTTCTCTTGACATTTAACTTTTATGCAGTCCTAAAGCATTTTAAAAATTCAAACAGATGTCAAATATATCTTCTCTCTTTCTTTCTGCCTATTTTGAGCTCACCACATTATGCTTTTAAGAGTTTAATTCTTCAAAGAGTCCAAAGTGGAAAGGGAAAACTGCCTCACCTCCATTCCTGGCTTGGGCTCCTCCTCCTGGCTCACCCCTTTTTTCTCTACTTTTATCATCAGGCATCACTAAAGCTCTCACAGATTCCTTCCAGCTCTCAGCAGGTGGATTTCTGAAGGCTGTGCCAAAATTTGGCCAAGTGTAGACTTGTCTCATTCCTATTCCTATGCTAAATTTCAAGTTCCCTCTTGCAGAACACGGAAAGTTGGAGCTGTGCAAAGCAGAGGGTGCCAGAACTAGTTGTATGTGGGGAAAAAAAGGCATCTGTTTTTTCACAGAGATCATTAAACATTTTTGCCATGCAAGTAAACATTCCAAGGGGATGCAAGACTGGAGCACGCACACTCATGGGTGGCTGCACTTCTAGTTGGTTAAACAGCCAAGGTCACTGGAACTGCTCTTTCAGAGTTGGGAATGGCAGCTCTGGGGTTACTCCTGGAGACTGGATTGACAGACAAAGCCTTCAGTGCTTTCTCTGGCAACCCCCAGGATCAATCCAGGCTGGGGATGAGCAGATGGAGCAGCCCAGGCAGAAGGCCCTGGGGGTGCTGGTGGGGCAGAGGCTGGACCTGCCCCGGCCCAGAAACCCCCCGTGCCCTGGGCTGATCCCCCAGCGTGGGCAGCAGGGCAGGGGGGGATTCTGCCCCTCTGCCCCTCAGGGGAGACCCCCCTGCAGAGCTGCTCCAGCCCTGGGAACAGCCCAGCAAGGACATGGAGCTGCTGGAGCCAGTCCAGAGGAGGCCCCAAGAGGATCAGAGGGCTGGAGCAGCTCTTCTGTTCTAGTTGAACAGAAGAAAGACATTTTACCCCATGCTGCCACCCTTATATCGGCTGCTCAGAACCAAAGTACTCAGCTGAACACAAAGAAGTTTTATAAGAAAATGAAGTATAAAAAAACTAAGACTAAAAAGGGCAATTCATTACATTTTTATCCCATATAAGTTGTTTTTCCAAGTACTGTACTGGAATGGGCCACTCATGAGCTAGAAGATACCATGCTCCAAGATCAGTCTCCATCTGCTGAAATGTTTAGGAAAAGAATTATAGAATCCCAGAATGGTTTGGGTTGGAAGGGGTCTTAAAGCTCATCCCATCCCACCCCCTGCCATGGGCAGGGACACCTTCCACTAGCCTAGGTTGCTCCAAGCCCCGTCCAACCTGGCCTTGGACACTTCCAGGGATCCAGGGGCAGCCACAGCTTCTCTGGGCAACCTGTGCCAGGGCCTCCCCACCCTCACAGGGAGCAGTTTTTCCCCCATATCTGACCTCAATTTCCTCTCTTTCAGTTTGATGCCATTCTCCCTTGTCCTCTCACTCCAGTTCCTGATGAACTCTCCCTCTTCAGCTTCCCTGTAAGCCTTCAGATATCAGAATGTTTCTGGGAGGTCTCCACAAAACCTTCTTCTCTCCAGGCTGAACAGCCCCAACTTTAATAATTTAAAGCTGTTTTGAATCAAATAGGCTGATGTGCCTTTGAAGCAAAACTCAAGGTACTTTCATATTGTTTAAATAATCCATAGATAATGCAAGTATTTCATTCAGATTTATAAATTAGAACTCTGAAAACATAACAAACCAAAGAGGCAGCCATGAAGTATGTTAATAAATGTGTAAAAGCACGTTAATAAACTTACCAAAGTACACGTAGGAAGTTTTGGAAGGTGTACAGATACTTTTAATCAAAAATAATGATTTTTAAAAAACTGCAGTCAAAACATGCTTTGATCCACAGCAGGAATAACTATGATCCTTACACAGGTATCCAACATTCCTGCAAGAGGCCAAAAAATCCTCTACAAGGGTCGTTCTCAGCCTGGAAGATGAGCTTCCTGAGGAAGTGGAAGCTTATTAAAAGGAGGGAAAACAGAGCAGTGAAAGAGTGAGATGACTGAGGGGCCCAGGAGTGCCTAAGGACACTCAGAGGCAAAACAAAAACTGGTGGGGGGGGGAGTTTATTGAGAGAGGCTTAAAAAGATGCAAGGAAAGGGAGCGGGGAGACACAGCGGGGCAGGAACATCACTCGGAATGAACAGACGGCCCTCAAAAACCAGCCTCTTCCAAGAGAGGAACATAAAAGGGTTCACAAGCTCTGGCAGAAGCAGGTGATTAAAAAACAAACAAGCCAGGAGAACTTGTCAGTTCTGTGGCAAAATATGCAGTAATTTACTTACTTTTTCCTCATTAGGGAAAAGATCTCTCAGTCATTGGCTTGGAGATTAATAGACTTCCAGGGGCTTCAACGTGGCACAGCACAGCACTGGGCAGGCTAAAAACCAGAACCCAAAGCCCAACTTGCAAATGTTACCAGAAATATTACATTTTTTAAAAAAATCCTTCTTCAAACAGATGGGGAACCTGCCAGGGAGTCTGCAAGGCCAGGACGTGATCAAGGAAAAATAATACTAAATTTAAAAAAAAAAAAAAAGCTCAGAGAGAATAAGGGAGTAGCACAAACCCCAATTTTTTTCCTTTCTTTTGTGTTCATCGTGGAAGAACTCTGACGTGTCCCTGGGGCAGCACTTTCTCCAAGTGGGATGCCTTGCAGGCCCTGCAGAAAGTCGTGGCCTTCAGAGAGGTTATCGAGTTAAGGCAAGTTAAGAGTCACGAGGCCAAGAGCAGATGGGTTTCTAAATGAAGGCAAGAGGGATTCCTGTGAACTTGTGCTATGGAATGTCCTGCTTCAAAGTGCTTTGGATATTGGGAAGGAATTGTTCCCTGGGAGGGTGGGGAGGCCCTGGCACAGGTTGCCCAGAGAAACTGTGGTTGCCCCTGGATCCCTGGAAGTGTCCAAGGCCAGGTTGGACGGGGCTTGGAGCAACCTGGGCTGGTGGAAGGTGTCCCTGCCCATGGCAGGGGTTGGAACGTTAAGTCCCTTCCAACCCAAACCATTCTCTGATTCTAAGACTTTAAAGCTTAAGGGCTGTAAGGACAGAGCACTGACAAGCTTTCCCTCAGTTCTTGCCAACAGAAATCCCCAAGAATACCGATGTCTAACTGGGATAACATCATATTATGAGAAAAATAAAGACTGACAGAAATTTCCTGTACTTTTTTTTCTTACCTGAAAAATACATTAAAGAATATGAAGCAAACCAGCACATCCTTGACTAGTCCCAAACCTCTACCTGCATTTGTGCAAGACTGTTTTAGGCTCCTACTAAGGAGAGTGAACAAAGGGAACAACTGATATTTTTAATTAATTTATTAACATGGTGCTTAATAAATTTAGGTCTACAGTAACATTTTTTTTCCAAAGATTTTGTACGCACAGAGTAGGTTTAGATTAGATATAAGGAAAAAAATCTTCCCTGTAAGGTTGGGGAGGCCCTGGCACAGGTTGCCCAGAGAAGCTGTGGCTGCCCCTGGATCCCTGGAAGTGTCCAAGGCCAGGCTGGACAGGGCTTGGAGCAACCTGGGCTAGTGGGAGGTGTCCCTGCCCACGGCAGAGGGTGGAATGAGGTTTAAGGCCCCTTCCAACCCAGGCCATTTTATGATTCTATTATTCTATCTCTGCTATTTTATTTAAAATATTTTAAGATGTCCACAAAGGCCAGACTTTCAATAGAAGGATATGCACAATATCTCACTTTTTTTCAAGGTAGAGGCTCACAATAATCATTTCACAGTTGACAGTAAGGACAGCTCTGCTGTCAAAAATCAGATTTTCTATCTTTTCCATGGTCTATCTGAGATGCGATGCTAACTTTGCCAACTGTACTTATTCATGGAGAACTTCTTCCTCTGGGGAAGATGAGGAAAAAAAAGAAAGGAAATGGCATATTTTTAGATTTGGAACAACAACATGATTTTCTGCTCAGAGCTGGCTTTTCATTTGTGGGGTTTTCCGTGGAGTCCTTTGGTTTTCATTGCTTATTACCACGAAAATTATTGTGTTCTGGGAAACTGAAACACAGTTAACCTTCCTCAGCTTGGCCACTGCCTGTTTTGTGAGCAGGTGATTTATTCCTAAGAACTGCCTTGTACATGATTGAAGACAACACCCCATGAAGCAGCTGCAGGTTCCCTCAGGTGATGCTGCTGTGATGATTCACTTACCTGCCTGCCCAGAGGTGCCCCTGGGATCAGGGGCCAGGGCCACCACACAGGCAGAAGTAAACACTGCCAAATGCTGGAAAAGATAAAACTACATCAAAAGGAAGAGTTCCCAAAGTTTGGTTTGGATTCACCAAGGTGAGATTCCCATCAGAGCCTGCAAGGAATCCACTGCCAGAAGGGACAAAACCATTGTTAGAG